GAGGCAAGTGTCTTCACCACTAGGCCACCATGCTGCTCTTTCTTTACCCTTACAGTAGATTAACTTTTTGTGTTTGGGCTATTTCTGCCATTTCTGTTTTAAAACAGAACAACACACACATACACACACACACACTTCTAAAATTTAGCAATTTGCCATCAAATTTCAATGGACAAGCTCTCATGGACTATAGAAAATAGGTCTAACACAGCCCCATGGAAAGTGCCCTGATAATTGCCCGTTCAGTCCCATTCAGTCAATATAGACAGTTGAGTGCTTGATGGGAACATAATAATAATCCCAATTTCAGTTGTTCCCAGAGTGTTATTGAAAGGCTATTTCCCCTTTTTTCTCTCAAATGTGTGCAAATACTTGTACACAGATTAAGGGTGAAAAGTCCTTCCTGTTCAAAAAGGAATTTTGGTGAGTTAGTATATTTAATTGTATCATGGTTTATTTTTATTTTTTTAATAAAATTTTATTAGGGTTTTCACAAAACAAAAGAAAAATAAAACATCTTTTTTTAGCGAACAGCATAGCTCCAGGTTTTCACATCTCCATACAGATATAATCTCAGTTACATATTCATCTTTCATATTCAATTCTTATCACTACTTTATATATTCTCTATTAATATTTTTCTCAAATACTTCCCTCAGGCTTATTTTATAGCTTTCTCATTCATTTCTATTTCATTTCCTTTTCAAAATTTCCATATCTTCATAATAATTATACTTGTACTTTTATCTGTCCTGTTTTCAATTTCATTGTATATTCTTATTTCACCATTTCCCAAAAAATTCCTCCGCATTTCAAACATTACAAAACAAGGTTTCCCCTATGGTTGCCAATTAGAGTCTGTCCCCTTCATATCTTATAATTAGTTCCCTTTCAAATCCCATTAAACATTCAACTTTTAAATTGTCCCCTTAAACAGTTATAACATTCAGCTCCTAATAACTATATTATAACATTTTATAATATAACTATATTACAACATAATTATAATATTATAATATATTATAATATAACTATATCAGAACATGGTTTATTTTTTAATGGTCAAAACTTTGCACATTATTTAAATAGTGCAGAGAAAGAATCTTGCTGGGGTCATATTGTTTTAAATCAATTCATAACTGTATAGTAAAAAAGGGGAATTCAGTGAATTCAGTCCACTAAAGTAGCCTGCTCAAAGCTTAGAACAAGCAAGAATTTGATAGTGCCAATGGAAGTTGGTGCTTAAAATACATTGCAAACTGGGCATCTGATGCTTGACTATGGCACGGTTGTGCCGAGGACAGTTTTCTGATTCATTTCATTGATTCAAGATCAGTTCATCCTAGCTATTAGTTGATGTGGATGAAGCAAATGCCATTGGAAGGGATTGTTCCAGGACATTGACACACCGCAAAATGTCTGCTAATAATTGTTCACTCTGAATAAGCGTTATCCTTGTGTATAGTTGGATTGTTCTTTGCGGTCTCAGAATTTATATTTAAATTTTTATTGAAGGCTTTTCTCTTTACGTTTGTTTTAATTCAGCATTTCTATTTTGTTTTATTTCTTTCATTAGAATATACAGTAAAACACTATGAACCTCACAGTGGTGGGATTCAAAAAAATTTACTACTGGTTCTGTGGGCGTGACTTGATGAGCATGGCATGGCTTGGTGGACATGGTTTTGTGGGTGTGTAAAATCCCATTCCCTCCCCACTCCACTGACCTGCTTTCCAGCTCCGTTCTTCTGTACAGGGCACCAAAAGAAGACCCAGCCGATCAGCTGGGACTCGGGAGGCAGAGAATACTGCAATACTGTTGAAGACCATTACAACATATTTTTACTTGAAGTCAAAAGAGTCATCAAACTATATGTACCAACAACAACTCCCAAAACAACAACAAAAAAAAAACAGATTACCCATAACAATAAGGAAACTTCAATCCCAAAAGAGATCACTCTGGCAGAAAAACAAATCTGGTCACGTTGCCAATTTCAAAAGCCGATACAAAATTTTATGCCACCAGATGAAGACTGAATGCACCAATTATCACATTAAACAAAAGGAAAACCTTCTGCACACCAATTCCACCTGTGCTTTTTACAATTTTGTAAACAACAAACTAAAAGACTCAAGGTCCATCCCACCCCTTATAGGACCTAATGGTAAAGACTGCAACGACGACACCATTAAAGCCAACCTCTTTAACACATTCTTTGGCTCAGTATTTGTAAACAGCAATGGATCATGTCCAGTATTTCCTAGCTGAACTACAGACAACTATAATGATCTAATATATGTCGATTTTACAGAAGACAATGTTGAAAAAGCACTACGCAATCTAAAACCATCTCTATCTATTGGACCGGATGGAATATGTGCCTATTTCTTAAAAAAGCTATCCACTGCTATAGCAGAACCTCTAAGCTTAATCTTTGAAAAATCTTTCAGGACCAGCTCCTTGCCAAAACTATGGTCACAAGCCACGGTCATCCCCATCTTCAAAAAGGGAGATCCCAGCCTAGTTGAAAATTACAGACCAATTTCCTTATGCTGCGTCACCTGTAAAGTCATGGAATCAATTATTAACCAATCCATTATCCTCCACTTAGAGACAAACAACCTACTTTCCAATAAACAATTTGGTTTTAGAAAAAATACTATCCTGTAATCTGCAACTCTTACACTGCAAAAACATATGGACTACACAACTCGATCAGGGCAAAACAATAGATGCAATTTACATAGACTTCTGTAAAGCCTTTGATTCAGTGGTACACAACAAACTACTCCTAAAACTAAAAACTTATGGTATCTCTGGACAACTGCATAACTGGATAGAAGCATTCCTGTCAAACAGACAACAAATGGTCAAAATTGGGAGCATCCTATCAAATTCTGTACCTGTCAGTAGTGGTGTCCCCCAAGGCAGTGTTCTAGGACCAACTCTCTTCATACTCTACATAAATGACCTCTGTGATCAGACTGCGTTCTTTTCACTGATGATGTAAAGCTGTTCAACACCACAGACAATACTTCTACCCTTCAAAAAGACCTTGATTATGTATCAGAATGGTCAAACAAATAGCAACTTCAAATCTCAACAAATAAATGCTCTGTCTTACATATTGGCAAAAAAAAATCAGAAAGTAAAATACAAGCTGAATAGTCAAGATCTTGTTGATGATCCAAGCTCTGTAAAGGACCTTGGAATACTCATCTCTAATGATCTAAGTGCTAGAGCCTACTGTAACTACATAGCCGAAAAGGCATTAAGAGTTGTTAACCTAATCCTACGTAGCTTTTTCTCTGGTAATATCACACTACTAACTAGAGCATACAAAATATTTGCTAGACCAATATTCAAATACAGCTCATCAGTCTGGAACCCACATTATGTATCTGATATTAGCACAGTTGAGAAAGTCCAGAAATATTTCACAAGAAGAGTTCTCCACTCCTCTACTCGTTGTAGAATACCTTATGCCACCAGACTTGAAATTCTAGACCTAGAAAACCTTGAATTACGCCGTCTTCGATCTGATAAATATGGTATATAAAATCATACATTGCAACGACTTACCTGTCAATGAATACTTCAGTTTCAACCATAACAACACAAGAGCACACAATAGATACAAACTCAAGGTTAGCCGCACCAAACTTAATTGCAGGAAATACGACTTCAGCAACAGAGTGGTCAATGTCTGGAATACTCTACCTGACTGTGGTTTCTTCCCCAAACCCCAAAACCTTTAATCTTAGACTGTCTACTATTGACCTCACCCATTTCCTAAGAGGTCTGTAGGGGGCGTGCATAAGCGCACCAACATGCCTACCATCCCTGTCCTATTGTTTCTTTTATTTTTCTTATATGTACCCATTTCATGTATTCATAACTATGTATATACTTGTACCTATTATCTTGTAAGTGATTGACAGATCAAATAAATAAATAAAATAAAATAAAGAATAGGTGGGGGAGGGGACAATCAGAGGTGGTATTTGCTGGTTCTCTGAACTACTCAAAATTTCTGCTACTGGTTGTCCAGAACCTGTTGAATACCACCTCTGGTACTTCGTCTTGAGATTAAGGAGAGTATCTTAATTTGTGCTGTACCAGGACATTCCATTTCAAATTTATATCATTTCTCCAATAGCCAGAATGCTGGGTTCTAGACTCTCTTCCACAAAATTTAGATTTTTCTGTAGCTTTCTTGGTGTTGGATGGTTCTCACAATAAAAACTGTAAACAGAGCAAAATATTGAAGTCTGCAGAATGAATGGAAAGACAAGCAGTATTCTCTGCCTACATTCTTCTCAATATAACAATAGAATGTTAACAAAAGCCTTTGGTTGTATGTCTTTCTGTTTGTGATTACATTAATGTATTTTATTGCAAGCTGCTGCAGGTACATTTTTGCTGAAATGTGGGATATAAACATTGCATTGCTTCTATCCCAAAAGCCATGGTGGCACAATGGTTAGAATGCAGTATTGCAGGCTAATTCACGATTCACTCCAGAAATTTGATTCTGACTGGCTCAACATTAGCTCAGCCTTCCATCCTTCCGAGGTGGGTAAAATGAGGACCCAGATTGTTGGGGGCAATAGGCTGACTCTGTAAACTGCCTTAGAGAGGGCTATAAAACACTCTGAAGTGGCATATACGTCTAAGTGCTATTGCTATTACAACACAATATGAAGTCATCACAAACACATTGTGCCCACCATAATGTTGCTAGCTTCCAAGAAATATGCACACGCATAAGAAGAGATTGCTAGCATTAGAATTCCATATAGGTGAATGGCATGAAAAAGATAAGACATAATGTTAAAAAAAGGGGGGGCGGGGTTAGATCATTGCTCGTCTGCTGCTTGGGACAGCTAAGGGGTTTTATCCTTACCAATAATAGAGATGATTGGGAAGAGTAAATCTAGTTGACTAGATGCAAACTGCTTTAACCAAACATTATTTTGATCCTTCTTTACCGCAGAACCGAGTGCAGCCCCTACTGATGTCAAGGCTACAGGACTGTCAGTATCAGAGATTCTTGTTGCGTGGAGTCACAACAAAGATAGCCTGGGAAGGCCCCAGGGATTTGAGGTATTAATATAAAATATATTCTAAGTTTTCTGAATGTGGGGGCAGGGTCCTTTTCTCCCTGACCAGCTAAAAGCATTGTTTGAAAGCAAGATTTAAGTGTTTAGAACAGGGGTGTCAAACTCGATTTCACTGAGGGCCACATCAGGGTTGTGTTTGACCTCGGGGGCCAGGGTGGGCATAGCCAGGTTGATTCACTTGGGTTGGGGGTGCCTGTGATGAGCACTCTGCCAGAGAAAATGGGCCCCCAAGCTCCATTTTCAGCTGCAATGGCCCCCTGCAACCCTCTGCCAGTGAAAACAGAACTCCATTTTTGCTGGAAGAGGCACTGTGAGCTGGTCCTTCATTGTTCCCAGGACAGCCCCGCAGGCCAGAACTAAGCATCTTGTGGACCAGATCCGGCCCGTGGGCCTTGAGTTTGACACCCTTGCTTTAGAATATGTTGGTAGCAAACTCACTCAGGATTGAACTACCCATTATATTAAGCAAGGCATTAAATCCCTAGACCCATGGTGGCGAAAGTGGCATGCATGCCAGAAGTGGCACGCAGAGCCATTACTGTCAGCATGCAAAGCACTTGCCCAGAAAAGGTCTACTGTGCATGCGCACACGCCACACGCCCACCTGCCAGCTGATTGTTGGGCATCAGGCGTGCATTTGTGGGGGCACGGCAGCACCACAGGCAACACTCGCACATGCGTAGAACTGCATGGAGGGTGTCATGCCCACATGCGCAGAAGTGCGCAGCATGGGTCATGTGCATTGCACATGCATGCGCAGAAACGGGGGGGGGGTCACACGAGTCACGCAGGTTGCTGCACATGCACAGGAGGCATGGAGGGACCATGCGCATTGCCTTCTGGGTGATGGCACGCAAGCACAAGCACTCAAGCGCACACATAATTCTCGGCATGGGAGCCCAAAAAGGTTAGCCATCACTGCCCTGGACTGTTAGGCATAGCTTTCATATCTCCTAGTCCATCTGATGCAAACAAATTATAAGCAAGGTGGTTTCCTGAGGGTTTTTTCCAAACTTTTTTTTTTATCTCCAAGTTTGCTCCCCTTCATCTGAAAAAATATTTGTTGCACTGTGACTGGTTACAGGTGGTCCTTGACTTACGACCACAATTGAACTGAAAATTTCTGTTGTTAAGTGAGTTTTGCCCCATTTTATGAGCTTTCTTGCCACAGTTGTTAAGTGAATCACTTCAGTCAATAAACACAGCTGTTAAGTCCTCAATGTATGACCATAACTGAGCTTGTCAGAAGGTCGCAAAAGGGGATCACAGGACCTTGGACACTGCAATCATCATAAGTATGAATTGGTTGCCAAGCATCTGAATTTTGATCGCATGATCATGGGGAGGTTGAAAAGGTCATTACTGTGGAAAATGGGTGATTAGTCACTTTTTTTCAGTGTCGTCGTAACTTTGAACAGCCACTGAATGAACTGTTGCAAGTCGAAGACTACCTGTATCAAAGCATTCCTTAGTGTGGCAGTGGTTTCTTTTTATGCAACTCACATAACAAGGAGCATGGCTTGAGGGACCATCTATCTCACTCCACTGGAATTGGCCCGTCCCACTTGTGTCAGCAGAGGAAATATGCTATGGGTCCCAGCAACTGGATTGTTCCAACTGGTAGGGTCCAGGAGAGGGGGTGGGCTTCTCTGGTGTTGCTCCTGCCCTCTGGAACATCTTAACTGTGTTATCTGAAATGGTTTCCATTTGCCCTTCTCGACAATTTAAGTATCCAACAAAGACTTGTCTTGTTAACAGAAGTGGTGTAGATAGAGTCGTAGATAATTTTATGACAGTGGTATCGAATGCACACGATAGGAGTAATTTTAGACTCACACTAACTGTTATATATTTGCATACTCACCTTGGATAGGTCGGTCCGGATGGCGGGAAATTTGAAGAGCAGTCATTGGCCACAAGCCGCAAGCAGCCCGCTATAAGAAAGGCTGCCACGGTTTCGCCAACGTTCAGTTCCACAGAGAATAAAGAGAATAAAAGATCAACTGGGTCTCAGGTCTTTATTCCCACAACACAACACTAACATTTTGAGAGCAAATTGTTGCTCTACACAGACATAGAGGTGAACCCTGCATAACATCTAGTACAAAGAGCGTAGCTGCACTGAATGAATTACAAAGGAGCTGTTCTGTATTCATATGTTCCAAGCCTATAATCCCAAGAGTAGGAGAAGCTCAGAAAAGGCATACTGACAGCCAGGCTTGTAAACATTAAAAACTATTTCGGCCTCATGTGGAAAGGAAGAGAAGGTATTCCAGAGAGAGGGGTTTTTTTTCCCCTGAATCACACTCAACAGAAACCCGTTCCTCTCAGAGAAACACAAATCAAATCCTCTTCCCTTCTCTCTATCCCTCAGCGATGCTGGTTCGGTATGATTAGACCACTGCAATGTTTCCTCAGGTGTTTTGTCATCTCCAATTCATTATATGGATGAGGAGTTTCCTCTTCTGTGCACTATGGTTGACAGGGAAGGAAGTATTGTTTCTCACATTTCCTCACTGAATTCAGTCAGAGAGGGCTAAGGACGAATAACTGATTTCTTTGAAGACCCAACCAGGTGGGCTATCCTTGAGACTTTGAATTTGCTCTGGAATTCCTGGCTGCATTCATTCTGGTTCATCCCTATTTACTGGCTACCTCCTGTACGCAGGAGGCAGCAGCAAAAGCATGATAAATGACAGAAATATCAGAACATACTGTAGAAGGCAATCTGGAGCAGAAGAGTAGGGATGAGGTAGTGCTTAGAATGGTGAGTTTTTTTTAAAAATGCAGTTTTGTGTCACCACTCGGTTTACTCAGCAGTCTACAACCATCTATATTCTAGCTAAATGGGGAGCGAGCTCCACATTCACTAGCACTGACAATGTTACATAGTTGGCTAGGGTGGAATGTAGTTTGGGGTCCCAAAGGGAGGGGTTGCTTCCCAGAGGTAAAGAGGCAGCAGAGCTTAGAAAGTTTGGTAGGCAGAAGAAAGTCAAGATGGCCGCTCAGTAGCAATTTATATAGATTATATAGGCAGGAAGTTAGATAGATGATAGATAGATAGATAGATAGATAGATAGATAGATAGATAGATAGAT